CTTTGCTTTAACCCTGGGAATGCCCAGCAGCACAGGCTGCTATTGTGATGGCTTTTTTACTTCTCAGTTTAATTTGTCCACAACCCAGGGCAGCAAAAATTTGCTGTTAAAAAAGTCAGTAAATAGTTCACATACTATGGTTAGATCAAACCAAAACCAAAACCCAAGCTGGGAAGTGGTGGAGGATGGGGTGCTGGAGATGGCTCAGTGGTTAAGGGTGCATACTGCTCTTCCTGAGGACCTAGGTTTGGTTCCCAGAACCCAGATGGCATCTCATAACTGTCTAACTCTAGCCCTCCAGCTCCAGAGGATCTGATAACCTTTCTGGTCTCTTCAGAACCAGGTACACATTTGATATACATGTGTTCAGACAAATGCTCATACCCCCAAAATTAAAATAAATAATTCTAAACTAACAACAAAATAAATTGGGTGTGGTGATGCATGTCCATGGTCCCAGTACTTGGAAGGGAGAGACAGAAAGATCAGGAAATGGGGGGTCATCCTTCACTACAGAGTGAGTGTGAGGTCAGCATAGGCTACCTGAGACAATGTATGGAAAAAAGTGGGGGCAAGGTTGGAGGCACAGTTCAGCTGGCAGTGTTGGTCTTGAATGCATGTACTTGGAAGCCAGAGGAAGGCACACTGTGTTCTGTTCTTACTCTCTGTCTTTTTCTATGAGGCAGAGTCTCTCCCTCTTCCTGAGGCTCACAACCCAATGGAGCTTACTACCCACTACCTGCTGCACACCAGCAAACCCCAACTGGGTTACAAGTTGGTACAGTGAAGCCAACCTTGTTGTGTGGGTGCTGGGATTTGAACTCTGAATGTTCATGATTACAGAGCAAGAGCTCTTAGCTGCTGCACCATCTCCTCAGCCCCATCTCAGCTTTTCATGATGTTTCTACGCTTCTTTATTTGGACAGTTGGTCCTGAAGTCTGACCCCCTTATACTTTTTTTTTCCAAAGGGGAGGGGGTTTATTCAGGACAGAGGGCAAAGGTGGGGAGAGAAACGGGAGAAGATGGTGGAGAAAGAGGAGAGAGAGAGGAGAGAAGTGGAGGCCGGCCATGACCATGTGGAGAGAGGGGGAAGGGAAGGGGGGAAGGGCGAAGGGACAGAGAGAAGCTAGAGGCAAGAGAGTAAGAGAGTCCCCTTATACTTTTTACAAGCATTTTTTCCTTTCCTTTTTCAAGGTTTCGATCAGAGTTTTCCTTTGATGAAGCTGTGATGTGAGCTGTATTATTGGTCTGCTTTCGAGGCAGGATTTTTTCCTGTCCATTGTATTTGCAGTGAAGCTTGGTGATTGAGCAGTAGAAGAGGTAGGTGGAGATGGGAGTTGGGAGGAGAAAGAAAAGCGGAGGAAGAGAAGAAAGAGGAGAAGAAAGCAAGGTGGAGGAAGATGTATCTCTAGGAGTCTTGGGTAGTTATTCATATCAAAGGTTTAGATATTGGATTAACAATTCTGATTGTGTGGACATCTTGTGTATTGAGTACTTGCTAATAGATAAATCTACTGGATAATCTTAAGCATTAAGAGTCTCATTTCTACCGAGTACTAGAATTGTTATGTCTACAGCATACGGGTGGCGGCAGAGGCAACCCCCACGCTAACATCTCCTGGAGTCAGGGCCGGTGCTCTGATGCCATTAGTATGGGAACATTGTACGGAACATGGCAGCAGCCAGGGAGCTAGCAGGACCGGGCCATGCCACATTTTTTCCAATAATTCCCACAACATGCTTTAGACATGAAGAGATTAAGCATGGGATGATTGATTACATGTGAATTATGAGAAGTATATAACAGGTCCCAAAACAGAGCCTGTAACAGCCACTCAGGAGAGAAGCAGGATTGG